AGTGTGATAGATCACAAACATGTGCTAACTTTAAAAAACAAGCCGAGTGGGCACACCAATCATCCCAGCACTCAGGAGGCTGAGGCAGGAGGATGGCCATGAGTTCGAGGCCAGCTTGGGCTTCATAGGTAGTTCCAGGCCAGTCTGAGCTACACAGCAACACCCTGTCTCAAACAAAACCAAACAAGCTGGCCTGAATGTGTTCTCCTCCCAACTCAGACTTCCAGAGTGCTGGGCTTACACGGCAGGTGGGCACCACCACAGTCTGCTTGTTTGTCTGTTGTTTGACTGAGATGGGGTCTGGCTATGCACTTCGGTCTGGCCTTGACCTCGCTACATATCGCAGACTGTCCGCAAACTCATAGCCATCCTCCTGCCTCAGCCTCCTGACTAGCCATTATTTAAAAGTAACAAAGACTGGGCATGGTGGTGGGCACCTGTAATCCCAGCTCTTGGGAGGCTGTAAACAGGTGGATCACTGTGAGTCCAATCTAGTTGTGAGACCCTGAACACCCTGTAGACCCTCCCTAAAAAATACAAAAAAAATTAATAAAAATAAAAGTAACAAGCCAGTCTTTTCTTTGTCTGTTTTCCATAAAGAAGATATACATATGTATTAAATATGAAGCCAGAAAGTACCCTACATTATACATAATTAAATAACAATTGTTAAGATTAAGGAGATCATTTATTTAGCCTTAACTCAGTGACATTAATAGTCCTTGAACTAGGAAAGGACTCACTTCTCAGCATTTACTGAGTCAGACCACGTGAATTCATTTCATTTTATCTATCATAACCATTCAAGTGACAGTTTCCTAAAAGTAAGTAGGAGCATCTTCACCAACTTGCTTCCAAGAGAGGCTAAGGAGAGGCAGAGCCAGGATCTGGAGTCGCAGTCACCAACCCAGATGCCCTGGGAGGCCGAGGCAGGAGGAGCCTCACGGCACCATGGCTCTCAGCCTGGGCTCTCAGCTCTCGCCTGGCCTGGAAACAGCCCAATTAAATGAGCTTTGTAAACTACCCAGCCGGCCCAGCTGGATTCTCCTGTTGAATACAACGCTCCTGCTGCCAAGCCATCAGTGACCTCAGCCTGTAGCTGTTCTTGACACGAGCGACTGGTGGTTCTTCTTGTAGGAAAGCTGGATGAACATTCAGCAGTTCACCTCCTGGGAAGTGTAGCTGTGCAGAACTCTTCCAGCTAGTAAGAACAGCCATGCAAGCTGGAAAGGAAGATCGTAGTTTAAAAGAAAAAGTACTCTCATGATTTAAATAAGATGCATTGAAGACTTTCTATTAATTCAACATCAATAAACATAATTTCTGGGCAACTAAATACACATTAAGGTATATCAGTACTGTTTAAGACAACAGTATATCAGTTTTGTTTTGTTTTTTTTAATTTTTAACAGTATATTGTTTTGTTGTTTTTGTGGTACTGAGGACCAAACCTAGGGTCTGTGCACTGAGCCACACCCCAGCCTTTTTCTATTTTTTGTGATAAGATTTTGCTTAGTCACTAAATTGCCTCCAGGTGGGTTCAAACTTGTGATCTGTCTTCCCAGAGTGTTAGGGTTGTAGGCCTGAGCCTGTCACCATCCACAGGTAGTATATTCTTTTTATAGTTATGTAAATTATTGTACTGCTGGAATAATTATTTTTGTGTGTGTGTGTGGTACCAGGGATTGAACTCAAGACCTTGTGCTTGCCAGGTAAGCATTTATTCTACTGAGCTATCTCTCCAGCCCTATTTTTGTTTTTGTCTTTTTGATACAGGGTTTCACTATACAGTCCAGGCCAGCCTCAAACTCACAGCAATCCTCCTGCTTCAGCAGCCCAAGTTCTGACATTATGCGCACGTGCCGCTATGCCCTGGCCTCACGCTGTATTTAAAGCACATTTAACTGAAAGACTATCCATATACTTAATTTATAAATTTTTAAATTTTTCCTGAGAGAAAATGTTTAATCAAGAAAACCCAATAAACAATTGTGCATTTCAAATGGAAACCGCATGTTGATGCTTTTCAACTCCGTGTATTTAGACTGAGGAGAAATCTTCCCTGACAGTCATACTTCCCTAGGGCTTCTCTCAACGTCTCCCAACCCCAAGCTGTGGCTGAGCTCCAGGGCATTTAATTATTATCCAGAGAAACAAAGTTAGAAAAAAAATATGAATTAGAAGAAGTAATTATGATTCACTTGATTTGCTGGCATTATCTTCAAATATTTTCTATTCACAACAAAGTCTACGGTTATTTCCAACAATTCTCCTCACAGGTACATTCTCAAGAATAGTGATGTCATGTCCATACGGAAATTCCCTGCTAAACGCTCATATCATTTGTGCATCAGAGCTGTCATGGGTGTATCTAGATGTCCCCTAAAAAGCTGTCACACTCAGGTGGGGATTGGGGGAGATTACTGGACCCTGGGCACACTGTACTGGCTTGGTTCACTGCTTGTTTCTGGGTATGGGTGATGGATTTACTAAAGACAGAAGATCAGCTCTGGATGTGGATGGCACCGTCTAATAAATTCGGAGCCTTGATGGACTGAGAAGGGAAGGCAGGCAGTCCTGCTGCCCCCTGCCGACTACGCTGCGGACCTTTCCTCCTCTGCCGCGCTGCCCTGCCGTGGAGCCAGCTGACTATGGACTCTACAAGCCATGAGCTACAATAAACCTTTTTTTCCTTTCATTTGTGGGGGGTCAGGTATTTTGACTCATAATGAGCATTTAACCAAGACGATAGCCAATACATGGAAATAATTAAAATGTAATAAAGCAAAAACCCCACAGTGAACAGATAAATAAAATGTGGCCTATCCATATCATGAATCTTACTACAAAAAGGAAAAAAGTGTTGGTACAGGAAGCAACATGGATGACCCTTGAAAATATTGTGAGGCAAGAGACAAAAAAAGCGTGGAATATCCAGAATAAACAGACCCACCAGATAAAGGGAAGATTGGTGTTTCTCACAGGCTGGAAGAAGGTAAGATTGGGAGTGGCTGCTCATGGATGTAGTTTCTTTTTGGGGTGACAAAAATGTTCTGGAATTAATGGTGGTGACTGCACAGCTCTGTGAATACACTACAACCAGAGTTTATGATTTACAAAGGCAAACGTGCTTAGTGCGTGTGAGATCCTGGGCTCAGTCCTCAGCACAAGACAGAGAAAAGGGAGAAGGGAGAGAGCAAGGAAAGAAGGAAAGGAGGGGAAAAGGAGGGAGGAAAGGAGGGATGAAGTGAGGGAGGGAGAGAGGAAGGGAGGGAGGGAGGGAAGGAGGGAAGGAAGGAGGGAAAGAAGAAAATGGAGAAATCTACTTAGAATTCTAAGAGGACCAGGGATGGAGCTCAGTAGCATAAACACCTGCCTGGCAAGCACAAGGCCCTGAGTTTGATCCCTGGTACCACCAAAAAAATCGAAACCAAAACCCTCTTGGGCTGGGGAGATAGCTCAGCAGTCTAAGCACCTGCCTGGCAAGGGCAAGGTTCTGAGTTTAATCTCCCATACCGCATGCCAGGCCAGTCACGAAACAGGGTGTAGTGGCAAATGCCTGTAATCCCAGAGTTGGAGAGGCTGAGACAGGAGGATCATTACTGGTTAGACTGCATCGCAAAACCCTATACCAAATAAATAAATACGTGAGTAGAAAAAAAGAATCCTATGTGAATTCTACCTCAAGGCTCTAAAGTATATGCCTATAATCAGTTTATATGGAATTTCTAAAAGATAGCATATTCTCCTAAAAAGTGTAAGGACCTAGCACAAGAGTATGTATGCAGTGCTGGGGATATAGTTCAGTGCACAGTGCCTCCCTGGCAAGAACAAGGGCCGAAATTCAATTCCCAGTCAAAAAAAAAAAAAAAAAATTCAGTTAAGAGTATGTGTATTACATGGCTGACACTGACAAAGGATCTACAAACTGCGCTACAGAATTTCAGGGTAAATCCTGAGGGGATTTGACTGGTCTTGTCAGATACAAAAGTTACATTTCATGTTATATAGGTCTTGCTTTATCTTGGTCTTAACCATTCAGCAGAAAAGTATAAAAATGAGATATAAAAAGTAAAGCCATATTAATATGCTAAGCTGAGAAAGGCTCAAGTCAACAACTTCTGACACTGCCAGTCCTATGGATAACCCACTGCTATTATGGACTACTGGACTATATTAAATTATTTTGCTGAATTCACGCACCTACAATATTTAAATGGCAATGGAATACCCATCTCTGACAAAACTAAACAAAAAAAGGGGATACAAATGAAGGACCATTTTGTATCTGTATACAACTACTTTCTCTTAATTCAATGAGAAGAAAGATTTGTACTAATAGTGTTTGGACAGGATATCACATCTGCATCTTCTACTATGCAGAACCACTATGAAGACAACAATATGCAATGTATTAATGATTGAAACCGTCCTACTAATTGGTTTTGAAACTGTCTCATTGCTATTTCTCAATAAAATAAAGAAGATTAAAAAAAGAGTATGTAGGACTGGGGAGATAGCTCGGTGGAATAAGTGCTTGCCTGGCAAGCGCAAGGTCCTGAGTTCAATCCTTGTACTGCAAAAAAAAAAAAAAAAAAAAAAAAAGAGTATGTGTATTGTGCGCATAAAATTCTAAAAATTGTTTAATGCAAGATTGTCTGAAAATATAATTTTCAATATAGTTATAAATGAGAAGACAAGATAATTTCTTTAAACGTAAATATATTTAAAAAATCAAAACACCTAAGAAATGCAATCTATACATATGAAAAAGTAAAATATTTATATGCATAACAAGTAGTAGCAACATTATCCATAAGCAGCAGTTAGTGTTTATTTTCCCCATATTTTGGTTTAACACCATAGTGGTAGCTCCTTCTTTTTAGGGAAATTACATAAGGTTACATACCGCGCAAGTTATAGAAGAATATATAATACTATGGAAAATTAATTTCAAATAATAGTATTTTTTTCTAAAAACAAACTAGAGGACAACAAAATGAACTTATAATTTATTAACTTCAAGATATATAGTCAACTTGCATAAAATTACATATGCTATTTTAAAAATTCTATTTCTAAAATATCAGTAATTCAGGCAATTGGGATTTCCACAGGAGATAAAATGTCATTCACTTACTTTTTACAAAGAATGTTACAACTGTTATTAAGAAATGTAATAGCGTCCTTTAAAAATCAAATGCTGTAAAACATGTTTGTACTAGGTATAAAGAAAATGCTATTCTTTTGCCTTATGAAACTTGTTCTTTGTATATAATAAAATGTCTTCAAAAACTCAAATGGTGGAATATGTTCTTCAGTTTATTTTTATTAGTACCAGCTCTGTAACAGCACTGCAGGTGACATAAACCTAATAATCACATTGCCATCGGGCTTTGGCCTTTCTCGTCTAGAAGTGCACATGACACGTATAAGTTAAGAGCTGTTAATTTATGTTATAAATGGGAACCTATTACACTGAAAAGATATAACAAAGTACTTAGATTGTCTACTACTTTATTCAAAAATCTTTCTGATACCACAAAACCAACTCTGACACATAAGCAAAAGAACTAAAATTTTCTGATTTGGGAGAAATAAAAGTTTTTTTCTTCTTCATCTCTAACTGTAAAAATCCCTTTTGCCTATTTATTTGACCCGTCTCTATTCATGCAATTTAATGAATCCTCTAAAGAATGTACACAGCTTTATACAGAATTCACATCTAATCAGTAAACTGCCAGTCCTTTTATATTTTCAGTGCTTTATCAAAATATGGGTAACAGTTCTTCATTCTAGGAGGCAGGAAGATGTTTCCTAAGAACTTCTTTGGATGATGAAGATATAGTGTCGGGGAAGGACACATCAAATTCTATTAGAAGGTCACCACGCTGGTCAGGGTTTTTTGGAAAAGGCAGGCCATATCCAATAATCCTCCTCCTCATCCCGGGCTTCACAATGTCATTTACTGACATGGGTATGTTTCTTCCATCCATTGTTGGCACATTGATTGAGCAGCCACACAGGGCCTAAAATGGACCACATAACATTAGCGCCCCAACCTGAAACTCTAAGTAAAAACATTACCAGATAACGAAGAATAATGACATTGGGGTAGAATTTTAGCCTCCAAAGAACAGTAACACTTATACCTTTGCTTCCCCATTAGAAAGCCCCTTCAGAGCCTGCATAATCAGAGATGTTACAAAAGACAGGAAGGAGAGGAAAAGGGAAAGGAAAGAGAAATAACATATGTCTTCCACATAGCCCTAGAAAAAAACAGCTAAGATGAAGCTGCTATTATAACATTCAAAGTGCAGGAATTAGAAGGGGAGAAAACAGAAACTCTGAACTGGAGAGAAACAGAGAGAAGCGCTTTGGTTAACAAATCTGAGCGTAAACATTTGTTACTGAGTGTGCTCTATTATTACAGACAAGGAGGGACCTTCCTGTACACTTCCTGTGGTGAGCCTCATGCCGCATTCCCACCATTTTTTGGAGGTTGAAGTCAGACTTAAAATTACTTTTTTTATGTATTTAGTACAGGGTCTACAGGGCCTCACTACACTGATGGGACTCGTAGTGATCCTTTTTCAACCTCCCAAACCCTAGGATTACAGGCATATGCCCCCACGCCCAGTCTCAATCTCAGTCACAGTCTCAGTGTGCCCGTAGGCAAGGCCGGGACAGAAGGCTGGGGATCTAAAATTACTTCTAAGCCAATGCTTGGCCTTTATGGTAGAGGCCATGCAATCCATTCATAAATTTTAAGCAGGGAATTCACAGAATCACAGTTTATGGGTT